CAAAATTCAACACGTGACCACTGTCACAACCAGGTAGGTGTATGTGTGTGTGGTTCGTAGGCCTCTTCGTAGTCGGTTTGGAATCAGGGTTTTAGCCAACTTCCCTAGGTGAACTGCCAGGGATTCACCGACCCAATTATAACGCCGGATGTTTGTTTTTTGCCTTCTCCTTTTAGTGGGAAAGCATCTGCGCCACGGGAAGGCGGTCAGTTGAGCTTCCTCAATAGAGACCAGGAGCCTTTCGTGAGATGCAAGGAAATGGTGATGATTCATAACCCGAGACGTCCAACCTAACCATACTGACGCTTTCGGGGATGATGAGTCTCAATTTCAAAACGGAATTGTTTGCGATCCCGGGTGTCGGAATATGCACAACTGTCTACATTGATTCGGAACTGGCCTTAAAGGTGGGATTAGAGTGAATATCAATAGAAAATGGTGAGCAAACTAGAGTAGTTGCAAATTATTCAACTCCCGAAGGCCAAACTCAACCCACATAGTTGAGTTCATTTTCTATATATGATGAATGTTTACGAAATGATTCGTCGAATAGATGATTGACAGACCTGAATTTCTAATCACATACGAATTGATGTAAATCGATTCGTTATCCAGTTCTATTGACATTAGCCACGGGGCTTCGCAGGTACCTGGGCTTGATCCGGGACTTTCAGCACACTCAGAAACAATATGTTGTATTTTGTTTGACCAGATAATGGAATACGGTGACACAACTCAAGGGATGGCTAGCAATCAAGGAGTATCTTAGGTCAGCTCGCCTCTTCAGGTTAATTTCGAATTCAGTATGCCCGAATCCCATGTTTGATCGCTACGGGTTGATCTTACCGTTTCCTCGTACTACAAAACCTGCCACATGTCTCAGAGTGGCAAGGATCTGAGTGTCATTGTTCGAGAAAACTTGAACTGCTTGATGAACTTTGTCACAGGCATTGTGTACAGCTCTAAAGAATTTCAGTTTTGCACAAACTGGTTGCAAAAGACTGTTTATATTACTTGAGAAATGAATCACATTATGGATTTATCATTCTGTTCCAAACTGCCAAACACGTTCATTATTAACCTCTTTTGATCCACACTGCCGGTGACCGTTGTTTGTCCATCCCATTGAAATGCACATTTCTATGATCATGATGACTATTCGATCACTATTTGCCTTCCGCTACGCTATGCACTGTCTTCCTAGGGTACTGTTCCTTATTTCCTTGCCTGTCTAATTTGATCTATCCAATTTGACAATAACCGTACATATTGTCAGCACGCTTTGCCTCAGTTTTCCATCTGATTCCTTTTGGACCGTAAGATTGAGCTAACCTTTGCTTTGGCCTGTATTTATTGATTCTATTTTGGGAGTTAACGCCAGCCAAAGTAGGACGCGTTACAGTTTCTGGACAACGAACCATATGCCGAAGACCTGTTTATCCAATGATGTTTCTCTGGATATATCATTTAATCTCACTGATTTCTCTCAATCAATGATCCGCCAAATTTGTCTTCTTTCTGCTACGTCTCGGTGACGAGGTGATTGCTAGTGCGATGCTGTGCTTCAGCTGCGACTGGGATTTGCGATCTGTGATTCGTCCATAATCCGACTACTACACTATAACCGCCCTTAACTATCATGGCTCTGCAGTTGGATATCCGTATCTCTCCAAAATTGCTATCCTAGAATGGTTGTGGTATTGCTTCTCGTAAACGTTCCCGTTGGACGTTGTGTGCCTCGCTTACAGGATTCTAAATAGCATTGCCTGACAACTTTAACGATGCTATGTTGCTTGTACATTATTCGTTCCCATGTTGCAAGTGGATTGTTGGCTTCTCGTGATTTGGAATTGAAGCGGGTTAACTAATGACTAACGGTCTGGAACATTCATATTTAACCGCTTTGAGTCAGTGCTTTTGCAAAGTCTTTTGCCCATGACTACCACATGATCAAAAGATGTTGGATTTTGTATGAACAATAGCCCTCGAAATAGCCCAAAATTCACATTTCGGAACCAGTGTGGAGATATTGCAATTACCCGAATTGTATTCTGACTTAAGATCACCGAACCGGATGAGGCTTGATTTCGATTTGTCAGATATTGCAGAACTTGGGCTCAACTTTGTTATCCGCTGCAAACATTCCCATCTGAAAGTTTCCTCTATAATACTGTAGTAATTGTAGTATTATTATTATTATTAGTAGTAGTAGTAGTACATAATGAACGCGGAATACGAATCATGGAATAGGACTCGCTGATTAGCATTCACGGATGTTACGTAAGCACTAAATCATACGGATATTATCATGACAGTATCCCACATAACCGAGACACGAGAAAAAGGCCACATGAGTAGTAGTTTCTTTATTGAAAGAAATCAGAGGAATTAAATATTATGTACAGAACAAGCTCATTGGTCGTCCAGGCTTCTGCCAATCGCGTTCTAGTATTTCTGTCATTGTTCAGCTTCTGTCTGGGTCGCACGGTTTCTGATTGGCTGATACAATCGACTTACAGTATCTAGCTCAGAAGCGGTGTCATGTACGCGCTTTGCTGATGTCACCTATGAAGCTTGAATGATCATTGTTGTCCGAAAACTGTAACGTGTCTGTCCAGGGTATGAGTCATCTCTCAGGCTGGGATCACCACAGATACATTCATTCAAATTAGCTTTCCACAAACGCAGACTGGAATGCCGGCGTCACTAAGACACCACCACTTGGAACACTTTCCTGCGCCAATTCTGTATGGAATGTTTACAGCTGAGGTTTAATGGAACGTGAAACGAGGTACACCGAGCTTATACTGTACTATTTTTCTACCCGAATTTGTACAGTTCACAATTCACTTTGAACTTGACAAAATGTAGATACAGGACTTTGCTCCAGGACATGAGTAATGTGAAGTTTCAACGAATTCCCATAAGAAATCTCCCTGCATCGATTTGGACGACCATTCCGGACTTGGGAGGGGAAGGTTTCCGCAATCAATCCGTTGAATTATAGTAATGAATGACCGCAACACATTTCTACCGGGTTCATCACACTGTAGTAGCTAATAATGAACACATTTTGGGTGTCCGGCAACCACGTGATTTGCTAAGTGTTTTCTACGTGTGCAATACACAATCCAACGTAATGTGCTTCAGACGAACACCTCAGATCAATTTCTACGGAGCAGTACAAGTTCACTGTCTGTTTAATGGCATATCCGTTTGATAGGGATTTTCCTGATCAATCGATTTCAACACCCAGGACAATTTACGCTAGTGCATGGGATCACTGGTGTCTAGGGGTGTGGGGTGAACAAAATGTGCTCTATTTTCTGTCCCAAATACGAAATGAGACCCGGATTGGCGAATAACAATTCGATATTTTCGGATAGTAATTAAAGACATTTACAACCAATCGGATAAAAGAATATCAAGCGAGAGTAATGGAAAAATCCACGATCAGATGATAGTTTGGGAAAATAAAGCATTGAACAGTACGTTCTATTGGGCCAAATCCGATTTTAAGATCACTGTTCTCACAATCCTCATCGGATTCGGACTAGATGAGTGAAAATCTTGTGGATTACCGACCGAATAAATCGCGAGTCAACGGAACAGGGACGGAACTGGATACCTACTCTAAGCCGACTTTCAAACCGTCTCTTTCTGAAAATGTATCCGATGCAGACGCATCCGACGCCGAGTTCGATGATAAACGGGATGACGATGGGGACACTATCGCACCACTGGATCCTCATCGGTCATCATTTCGTCGTGTAGAATCGGCGGAATCGACTCCGATCCCTCTGGTTCAGTTCTTACGCAGTCGTGGACAGATACCAGACTCGAGTTCGGACACAATTACAGATTCAGGCATATTGGATACGGGAAATCGATTCGACTACCCAACCGGACTAGCTCTGTATCGTGCAGCTCGTCGACGTCTAAGTAACGTATCCGTGACTGAGTTTTTGGCCTCTGACACAGTGAAAGACACAATCCGAGCGCAACGACGTTCAGTTCCCATACAAACATTCTGGTCTTTGGAACGTGGTCGTAGATGTAGTGAACCGGTGGACTTGATCGCTTCCTCTTGTGTCCCCAAACACGCATCTGGTCCGTTTCCTCCCTCTGTTCATCGAGCGTCCACAGGCGATATCGAACTGGATAACAATGATCATAATAACGTTTCATGTACCTCCATTTCCGGTCTTCAAGGTGTACCAACCAACTCGTCAGACAGTGACGTGTTCTAAACAAATCGATGAGGTAAACAAAATCACACTACTCCGCTGAGAACTGAAAGTGGAGAGACACTAACTGAATGGTAGATTGCGAAGTAAGGATTTAAACTTTACAAAGTGAACGGTACCATTTTTAGATGATTCGCGTTCTCTTTTTGTCTCTCTTAAATCTGCTTTTACATTTTGAAGTATTTGAATAATTCCACCTGAGCGGGAAAACAAAAAAAACGAATAGGCCGGTCAATTTTGTCGCGTAAATTTTATGAGCTTTTGCTGGTTTTTTACCCTTTGCGCTCTCCGATCCACTTTCATACATTAACGGAACGAATGATACTGTGGTTATGGTTTTGTGACCAGCCGAAATGTACTTATCTTATACTAATTCCTTTCAATTTGTCAGAGTGTAAGACCGGAAAATCAAATGAGAAAAAAATCATTTTAACTTTGTTTTATATACCAAATTTAATTAAACGAACAGTCTTTTCCGACCGATCTCCCATTTTCTCTACGGCCTGGATTTGAGTAGAACAATCTGTTTTGTTGAAATTGAGCAATCGTTCACTCAATCGATATCAAATAGAAGATCTGAGTGATTGATCCTGATTGGTAATTGCTTGAGACAAAACGATCACATTTTTGAACTTCTTTTTGAAACGGGATTATATTTTGAGCGTTTGTCACGAAGGGAGAGGGGAAAAACGTTTGAGGTTTCGTGATTCGTAGAGTTAGGAGTGAACAGTTCATCGATCCGAAACACCTTGAGTTTAACAGTACAACCATTAAAGTAAGTAAAGATTAATTGATTAATTTGTGTATTTGACTGTGAAACGATTCGATCTGATCGTGAGAGTTGAAAAATGAGAGTGCAGAACTGAACTGGCGTATAAAATTAATACAAGGTCAATCAAACTCAAAATATAAAAACAGACGTCAAACAATAAAAGAAATTGCTCAAATCACTGATTGCGACAACTAAATGTATAAACTGGTTACTGGTGGTCTCGGAATTCGTAACAATATCTCAGGTAGCTATTTCCAGGGCACGTATCCCTAAAGTGATATAGGGTGTTCACCGATCCTATTGAAGTTTGCAAGTTCAATCGTAGATACAATAATGTGATTTAGATCGATACAACCTTCTTTTATTGAATCAGTCATATTCATTTTCTTCAAAGGAATTTCCTGCAGTCTGGAACTTTGCTTTTGTTTATCCGTATTGATTATTAGTGAAACCTAAGTAAGAAACAAAGAAAATGAACTTTCTATCTCAACTCTGCCTCTATCTCTCTCTGCCTCCACCATTCGACAAATAGTACCTACTTTTAGGAAGCCACGTTTAACTCCATCTAAACAAGCGCAAATCCTCCTTTGAGCTCATCCTTTTTACCTTGCCCAGTGCTGTTAGTACTACTAGTATTGTTGCAAAGTATTACTCACATATTTGAGCAGTTTGTCTAGTTCACACACAATAGGCGGTCGGAGGGTTCTTAGGGTATCTGAGAGTGAATTAAAGTATTTACCAATATAGCTATATAAGAGGTGAATGAACTGTTATACTTTTTGACCACTAAGCAAGTGCCGCTCATAAAACTACTAACCTATTATTATAGATCATGTGTTTCGTTCTTTACCGTCAAATTTATGCCCAATCCACGTTGTTTTGCCCTCAGTCGGGAACTGGTCTTATGGACTAATCCAATTCCAAAACTCCAGTCCCGGGGCGAGAAACACTGATAGAAGTATCAATACATTGGGAAGATGGGTTGTGCTTTATCGTGTAAATGGAAAATAAAAACGGTCTGACCAGCTGCGCGGTGACCAAGTGGGTATCACGCTTGCGTTCTGCCTGTGAGATCCCGGGTTCGATCCCCAGTTGGGTCGGTGGATTCGCACATCGTACGGATGAGACCGAACTAGATCAAAGCAACTGTCCAGCAGTGCTTCCTAGCTTTTCAGTTCATGCTTCAATTTCTCTGTACCCGATGAATTGCTTCTATGAAATATATAAAAATGTAAATGGAGGAACACATCTATCCTTTACGTATAATAATTTTACTGTACCGTGCAACAAAGACTGAGTCCGATCCCATGAATTTTCACACAAACCGTGTCACGTTTGTTGACCAAATTGAATCAAGTCGGGAGAAACAGTGATGTGGGTCAGCTATGACAAGGCACAAAGACAAAACTGTCTTCCGGACTGACTTCGGTTGGGACATCCTGACTAAGACCTCCGGGGAGCCTGAGGTAGTTGTTCAGTAGTGACAGCCTCGAGTATAACACTGAATTGGTGCTAGTTGCGTGTTTGTGATCAGTGAGTCCCCAAACGGAAATATCAGAATCAGTTTTTGACTATCACGAATAGGAAATTTACTCGGTACTGGGCTTTTTGAATACCCATATAATGAGGCTTGAAAACGGCGGAATAATTCTATAATTTGAATAAGAGCTCACAATTTGGGCAGGCATATTTCTCAGTGCCACTCGCGTATAATCACATCCACATGATGTAAATCGTAACCAGTCTGAGATAGTTTTGGCGGGTCTATTCTATTCAGCTAAGCTGTGAACTCCCAGGACAGCCATGTTATATAATAAGAGTTTCTCACTGGTTAGAATTCCTTTTTCAAAGTATCTTCTGGACAGATAAAAGCGTCCTATCCAGAGAAAGCAATCACTGCACCGGGCTGAGTTTTTGATACACCGGCCTAAAGCTATGAAAATAT